CATAACGTCGGTGCTATTATCCCTGACAATTTGCACTTGCTCTCCAAGTATTCTGAACAAATCTACAGCGGCTGGTGTGTATAACTTTCCTTCCTCTGTTTTCTTAGGTGGTTGCACCTTATCCGCCTCAAGAATATTCATGTACCATTTCTGCAATCAAAGAGGATTGACAGCTAAAGTTAAAGCAAAAAGAATTATTGTAACTGTAAGCCACAAAAACAGCAGAGGAGGTCAAACGTGCATGTCATTACCTTCGTTGTAGCTTGCATTCGTTCAACATATGCATTCATTAGAGGATCCATTGAACCACTCTCTGAACACACTTGAGCTAGTGAATCATCAACACCAAGTGCAATCAAGTTTTCTTGGTACTCTACCACCCAACCAGTAACCTAGGAAGATCCAAAAGAGAGAGGGAAGATACATCATTCTCTATAGAATAATTGATGAGAGAAGGTAAAACGAATGACGCATATTGATGAGCAAATTGTGTTAAGGCATGAATACAAAGGTGACCAATTACTTATGTGTGGCAGTCAAATAACTCGCACTAGCTTAACAAGTTCTTGAATATCATGCATGGTTGGTTTAAAATTTCCTTCATACTCGGCCAGGAAACACAGTGTTAACACACGGAAGAAAAATATGCGAAGTATGAGTTACGATGCAACAATGCAAGAACACTACAACGAATAAAGCTTTACACACCTTTAATATCTCTATATTTGTCAGATCAGTTGCCCTGTCACTGAGCGATCTGAGCATGTGAATGAATCTCTCGGTATACAGGTTCACCATAAGCTGAAATATCTCGTATCTACCAACAGAAAAGAAATGCTAAGATGATCATTTTTACTATGACGAAATGAAATAAGATTTTAAGCTGTAGTCGTTGTTCTGGAAGAAAAAAGTCCATATAGGAAAAAACCTCGGAGGAAAACAAGGAGCCACATAGTCATAAATATCGCCAAGTTCCTCTCCAATCTAGTTGTCAAACACAATCGCAAGAAAGTTAGAACCCCAGTAACTTTAAAAAAGATAATAGAAGAAAACGAGGTTGGCATCAATATCGACTATACTCATTAAAAACCAAAAGAAGAAGACTTTTAACTAGTTCAGTCAACTAAAGGAGATCTACTGAAATGCCTAGTATAAAAAAAATAGTTGAGTAACAAGTTAGTAAACTTCAGAAAGGAAAAGAAAAAAAAGAGACAATGATGAAGCCGAGTATGCAAGCAAGGGAATCAGTCACATACCAGTCTAGCTTCCTCCAAAGCTGCTTTTAGATCTTCAAATACAAGCTGGTCAATAATTCAGGGTTAGAACCCTCTCAAAAAGATACTTTGGTCAAAAAAAAAAAAAAAGCTATGCCACCAGATGAAATTCTTAAAAGATAGTCCCACCGTCAAAAGCCTATCGAATCGATCTTCCACTGACTTTCGAATCTGTTCGTAGCATTTGTCCTTGTAGCCTTTCCCTTGGACTTTTAACTTCTGTTGTGCAAGACCCTTCGACGAAGCTGACGTTGTAGTAGATTTCCTGGATTAAACCCAACAAATATAAGACATGACACGAGTGATCATGGGAACTTCAACAAAGTACCAATACTTTTGAGGTGACTAGATAAGTGCATAGCTTATCTTAGTTATATGCACAGTGCAAAAGCGAAAGAGACTCTGAAACTGACATATTAAGAAGGAAATAAATTAAAACTTATTGGACTCACTTGCCAGGCCTCCGAGGATTTGCTACAGATGCCATCGCACCTTCTCCCTCAGCCTCTGCTGCTTCTTCAGCAAGTTGTTCGTCAAGAATTTCTTGCATTTCAACAACCCTTTAAAATAAGAGACCATTGTAAGTTAATACCAGCATTGGAGACACATCCGATATTTAGAGGACTTTTTTATACCAGCATAAAATTCACAATATTGCAATGTGTGTTGAATGATTTTCGAAAGAGACAATTTGCTTGTCCAAAAATGGTTGTTACGGTATCACAATAACTTCAATGAACTATTTTACCAATTTGAACTGATCTTAATACCATCACCGGAAAACTTTATACACAATCTTTATTGCTTATTAAAATAGATTTGCTTGCAAGTTGCAACAGACTTACTGAAAAGTAAAATTGCTGGTAATATATACTATAGACATATAAGAAGAATGTCGTTGGTGGGGAATCATACCTCAAAGCACGAACCAGCGTTTGTGGACTGTAGAACAAAGAGATACATCGGTAACAAGAGTAAAGTAGTTAATCATTACGTTTCAAATAAATAAATAAATATGTAGCATTTGATATGTTAGCAGAGTTATGAGCTTCCAAATGCGTACTTAAGCCCTAAGATCTGGCTAGCAATAGAAAACAGAGAACATATCACTACATAAACTATGTCTTCACATAAAAAATGCTCATATCTGGCTATCGAATAATTGCTACAGTCCAACTATGTCCCTCTCATTTATTGACATTGCTTTCTTCCTTGATCTAACTTGTTATTAGCCTCATGCTTATCAAACACCAGCAAGAATCATATACTAAAATGAGGTAGTATAGGTATATATTGACTCAAAATACCTTTCTTTAGAAAGTTTGTGAAAGTTGGTAACATGGCCCCATAGTGTCTTCTCGAATGTTTCCCATGTTCTATCAACGTCTTCAAAATACTCCCTGAACCCATCAAAACAACTCTTCAGAAATTGGTGTGCGTAATATTGTAAAAAGAAAAGATACTCCAGACTCTAGAGGCGGGATCAAACCATCATAGGCTAATACTTCATTTATTTAAGCATAAAGACCCTAGTTTCCTTCATTTTCAGTTGTTCTCATTGACAGCAAACTCTGGAATAAATACAAACCTTAGCCTCCCAACCTCTTCTCCAGCAGCTGCTAAGGCAAATCTCCGTTTACCATCAAGTGCTGTTAGTCTCTATGGAAGAACAAAAGAAATGTTATCCACTTTCTCAAAAATGTTATGCATTCAGAAATGCGTGGAATCCACAGGAAGAGGACTCATGCTACCTCATAAGTGTTAACAATTTCTTTATCATCACTCAGAGAATCCCTTGCTGCAGCAGCTTCAACAGAAATTGACATCATACCTTCTACATCCTAAAAACCAACATTGTGGTATAAACTCGTAAGCATTTAAATAACTAAGACGAGAATGCAGTATCCGAAAAAAAATTGAGTGATAGAAGCAGTGCTCGTTGGCATATCTCTACCTTCAGAGTCTTGTTTAGATTATTCCTGGCATTACTCAGCAGCTTAATTTGATCATGATTGTCAATCAAAGTTTGGCATTCCTGACAAAGCCTGTAGCAACAAGCAGTGATGTTATAGAGAATAAATTGAAAAACTACGTTTCTCAAAATCTCTAATCAATCTATAACATATAACATACTTGTCTATAGAGATGAAGTTATCACGCAGCTCATAGATAGTTTTCTCAGAAGCGGAAAGCGCCTCAAGTCCAGCTTCAGCTTGTTCAACCTACAGTTTATCAAACAACAAATAACAATCAAAAGATAACCAAATAAATATAAGAAATTACCAGATTAGAGCTGTACCTGCTCAGCAACCATGGTACTAAGCTGTGCATCATTCGCCTGAGGAATTCAGAATAAAAATATCATGATGATGATTAACCCTAACGATTCAAACAACAGCATCCGCTGAGAGATAACTGATACTCAAAAGCAAGACGGAGGCGAACCTGTTGGCGAGCGATGTAATCGGCTTTGATCGAAGAGATAGATTGCAGAAGCTCGGGTAAGGGTAAGAGCTTGGCAACTTCACGTACAGCAGCCTCCTTGGCTTCCACGCCGAGATCTTCGACCATCATCTTTCCGCTTAGATCAAACAACTCCGATCCTAAAAATTGAAGACCGTCTCTGTTAAACAATGGCAACGGAGAGGTGAATAAAAAGATCTGAGGAGCACAGGAATTAAATCAATTGAGAATATTCGAGTGATGTTTACTTTGACGTTATGTATCTTTACCTAAGGTGGTTTGTGAATATTGTTGAGAACAATTGTGTTGATGGAAGAGGAGTAACAACGATTTTGAACGAGTCTCGACTCTGCTCGCGGGTCTAATGGAATGTTCCGAAACGCTGGAATCTCAACCTTGACCGGAATTTTAATTTATCCTTTTTTTTTGCCACCTTTGTGGATTTGATTTTTTTTTTTTTGTCAGAGTAAAGATGTGACTATACCACTAAATATGTTTTGCAATTTGGTTAGTTCAGATTCGATTGGCATAAAAGTTCATTGAAAATAATTTTGGTCAGCTTGATCTGTTTTTTTTTTCTCTTAAATACCAAACTGAAATTGGATAATTTTAATCAAACCGAAACTATATCTATTTAACATAAATAACCGATTTTTTGTATAAATCAGGGTAATTTGGTTTAAACTTTATTTTTAAAAGTAAAAGATCAACTAACCGACTTGTACACCGATAAATTAGAATTTAAAATCTATCAATCTAAGCCGAAAACTGTAAAATTCGGTTTTGTTCGGTTTGGTCAATTTTCGCCGGCCTACTTCAAACTCCGAAGTGAAGGGCCTGCAGGCGAGGGACGATGTAACTCTTGGGAGGAGTACGCTGGTAAGGTGTCTATCTAAAACTGAAATGTTAACTATTGACATTTCCTAATCTTATCTGCACAACTTCTACTGGCTTTGTTCCTCCAACGGCTGAAGTGTCCGTTCTTGATTCCGGTTTAGTAAAAAAGAGTTATTGTGCAGCTACGTCTTTCTACTGAAAGTTTCTGGTTATGTTCTCAAACATTGCCTCCTACCTCTACATATGTTTTCCAAAATGCAATTTTTCAGAGGAGTTCACACCTGCTTGCTGACCAAGAAAACACTATGTACGTATACTTGCTATACAATTATATTCGCAGGACATTAGAAAGATCTGTACTTAAACTCCCAAACTTAAGATTCCTTGATTGATAGACATGATTGATCAAAAGTTTAAACGAGAAATCAACTTCCTGCTTTTGTATTCCCCTTATTGGTAAGCTTTGGAGAAATAAAATGTTTATTCACTGAAGTACTAACCAGTGGCTACATGATATGAAAGGTATAAACCGAAGGAAATATAGCTTAATTGAAACAAAAAGTAGAGAGACTGAGGACACAGTTGTTCTGAGACTTTTAACATGTAACTTTCTCTTTTCTTTTATATATTTTGATGGCTGGATAGTTCTTCTATAAGCTAAACTCAGCACAAATAAATACTACACTAATAATACAATCACTCACCCAATTCGGTTGAGAGAGCCCTTCTTCTTTCTATGGTAATTTTGTGTAATATTTGTGATCTGCTTTTCATCTTTGCAAGCTCCAATCAAATGAAAGTGACCAAACCTGTTGCTCACCCTGTGGGACAGAAGAGAATGCAAACCGAATGAGAAAAACAAAGCAGCTCTGAAAGACAAATGAGATTCATGGCATATAAGACAATAACCTCAACGTTATGAAGGCTGCCTCATGTGGTCTTGCTTGAGCGCTTGTTGCAGCTTTATGACTTCTTGCTGTTGCTCTGGAGTCAGCAGCCTCAGCTGTTCCGGTGTCAGGTTCATTACTTGCTGGAGCAACGTTGACTGAACATCCGGGGAGATATGTGTCTGTAGAGAAAGAGAATCAACCACAGAGCAAATATATGCAATATTAATAGAGTCATTGGGGGAACTTGTGAAGGGTTTTCTCATCCAATAAAGCTTCCAAATGATGTGTATACCTGATGGGCTATCTCTTGTCGCTGTACTGGATTTGGAAGCATTGAGTTAGACGCATGACCTCCATTGGAGGGAGCAGTTCTCCTATCATCCACTCTCATCATCTTCGATGGTCTGTTTATTGATTCATAAGGTCCCTCGTTTATTCTTTGACCATGATTTAGTGATACCATTTTCCCACCTTGCTGTAAAGTATATAAATACAGACGTGAAGTAATCTTTACACAAGAAAGAAAGCAATGAAAAGGGTCACTAAACCCCCTTCCTTCCATACTCACTATATATATATATTTGAACTTTGGTTATTAACTTGAAAAGCAAAACATGCGTGACTCTTTCTCTTTGGCCACTTATTAGCAACTCATATCAAATTATCAGTGAACTTTCCCAGTAAGATATGGTAACTAAAACAGAGCAGACCTTTGGTGTGACTACGTACACCCACCGAATGTTGACATTTAAAAACTATAGGGCTAAACTATGCAAGTACTTTTGAACTTAATCTATATCCCAATAGTTACATGCTCTTACAAAATAAGATATTGTAAAAACCCACCTGCATCATAGAGTTTGGTAATGCTGGCCTAGGTACTTGAGATGGTTGGATAGCACTATTTGGAACTGAAGTCTGAATACTATATCCCATGCTGCTGGAAGCCGAAACCATTTGTTTTTGGCGTTGGAATGGAGCGGTTTCGCTGAGACCTTGAACTTGGGATCTAGATGGAACAGAAGACGGACCTGGTTGTGGAATCTGACTAAAATGTTGTTTAGAAGACTGTTGAACGGGAACTTGACTATGGGGAGGTCGACTTAGCTGCTGTGACCTTTGTGCCAGAGGCGGTAAAAGGTTTTGGCTAGATAGTTGTGTATCTTGAATTGAAGACCCTGTCATATGATTTGGGGCCTGAATAATATTTGGCGTTTGCAACTGCACAATTCAAGAATGGAAATAGACCAATTGAGACATAACAGATAGATAAAGAAGGAAGGCGCACAAAACTACTCAGTGAGATGGAAACTTACGACTTGTGGACTCACAATCCCAAGCATTATCTGTGCCTACAACAGTAAAACAAAGTATAGGTTCACAAAACGGTGTAAGAAGAACTAATCTGTCAATAAGGATGGGTTAGTTAGTACCAGGAAAACAGCTTTTAGCAAATGAGGTCTAGAAACCAACAACTGTCGAGCTTGTTCCTTGCTCTGCGTAGCCATTAACTGAGACAATAACAACCACACCACTCGGTTACAATTATTCAACAAAGCGTCAGTAAATAGTAAATGAAAACAGACTATTTTGATAAATTCACACCTTAACGGACGATATAATTTCAGAGAGCTGACTTCTAGACATCTTGGCAAGATGAAGAGTCAGGGGATCACTAGCTGGAACCTGCAGTGTACTTTGTGAACCAACCTGTGGACCACCAAGCGCACCGGCCATAACAGACGCAGCTGACATAGCAATGTTGATACCAACCGGCTGATGAAGATTCGTATCTACAGGCCCTCCAACCTGCTTCTGAGATTCTGTCATAAAAAAAAAAAAAAAAACAAGGGTAAGTTATGTTTTCTCTAAAGACAATTCTGGTCGGTAACTGAAACAAAACACACCAGTAGCAGTAGGCAAAGCAGGACCTCCTTGACCCTGAATCATTCAAAGGTATAACCTTTAGTTTTAAAACTTACAGAGATGAAAACTTAAACATTTTAAGACCACAAAGAGGAATATAGAACCTGATCTCGTGTTTTGTCGGTTCCTTTGTCATTCTCAGCGAAATCAACTCTTAATTGACGGCCATTGATTTCATAACTCTGAAGATTACGACGAGCACTCAACGCTGTCTCTTCGTCCTTATACTCACAAAAGCCGTAGCCTTTAGGTTTACCAGTTTCTCTATCTGTAACTAATCTGAATCAGGAAAGAAAAGGTGGGTCCTTTTATCAAAAACCCTAAAAACGCAATTGAGCCGAATTGAAGAATGGGCGATACTACTGACCTAAAGGAGACAACGGGTCCAACCTCTCCACAGATGTCTCTGAGTTGTTCCTCGGTAACGTCGTAAGGGATGTTCCCAACTAACAAAGATACGATTGATGATTGAAAACCAAAAGGGGGAAGAAGATATGTGAAAGGGAGAGAGTGAGTACCGAAGACGCAGCGTCGTTGGGATGAAGAGGCCATTGAATTAACAGAGGGTTGAGGGCGGATTCATCTTCTTCCTCCAAGAAACATGTGATTCCAATTCCAATTCGAATTCGAAGGAGGAGTTCAATGTGAAGATTTCCGTCTCAAGAGATCTTTTCGAATTCGTCAATTGGGGGAGTAGTGTGACCTTTATGTTTTGCTCTCTGAATTAAAGACGAGCGAATTTAATTAAAGCAAAGCGAGTTACAATACCATCGAAGGATATTTATGTGAGCTTAACAAAAAAAAAAAAATTATGTCAGCTAAACCAAAATAAAAAAGGAAAGTCTTTGTAACGTGAAAAACGAAATTTATATTGCCATGAAACTATTTTAAATAGTATAATACTTCATGCACAGAAATAAATATTAAACACAGAAATAAGTATTTACAAAATAATCAAATTATAATGATTGCTAAATATTAATTTTCATTGTATATAATCTTTTAATAATTTTATAACTTGTATTTATGATAAATAAAGATAGAAATATTTGTACATTTATTTATAAGTTCTAAGTCATTTTAATTTATATTATGAGAATAATAGCATAGTAATACCATTATGCTTTCATCTCATTAAATGTGATTTCATGTGTAATAATTTGGACCGGTATTTTTCTCAAATTTCAAAAAACGATATTATTTTGATTAAGTTAAAAATGAATTTTTATTTTTAATTTCATTTAATTGGGTTCATTCTCTTAGATTATATATTTATATTTAAATGTTAAAATTTGATATATGTTTTGTAAAAAAAGAAATATAAAATCAGAACTGAGATAATTCATACTTGTTATTTTAAATGATTTGGATTTTTTATCTTTTGAATAAAATTAAAGAGGTACTGAGGATTGGAAGTTGAATAAACAAACCAAATAAGAAATATTTCAAAACTTCATTGACTAGTTACGAAATCATAAGTTAATTATACCCAAAAATTCAAAAAATTGTATTTATCAATATATTCTCATTTTAATTAGATATTGATTTCAAATATAATCAATTTAAGTATTATTTTCGGTTATATTGAGTTGCATCTATTATTTTAAACAAAAAACCTTTTTCTGTTTTAATTAATAATATTAAAATTAGATTACTATTTGTATCTTCATTTAGTTATGTTCATCATTTTAGAATTCTAAATATATTTTATAATTCTATAAATGGCAATATTTGTTATTTTGAGAAAAAAACTGGAAACAATTTGGAGTTGCATTAATAAATATAATTATAATATTTTGAAAATTCATGTACACATATAAATATTTATAAAATAACTAAATTCTGTTAATTGGTTAATTAATTTTTTAGAATTGTGACGACATTTTATAATTTATATATTTAATAATGGTAATTAGATGTAATGTTTTTAATTTACGAGAGTTACTCTATAATTAACCACCATAAAATTAATGTGAGTATAACATGTAGTAAACTGACTTTTCAAATAATATTATAGATATTTATATATATTTGTAATCGTCTTTTAAGAATATTGATTATTGCAATATGTTTTGTAGTTATTATTTTCTAGCATTAAAATAAAATTTCGTTACAATGTGTCTATGTATCTCATGGAGCTTGTTTCATAGGAACTAGATGTTTTCCTGCACCATGTACCGTGATAAACTTTTTAAAAATTAAAATATATTTAAAATAAAATTTAATAATATTATATATTTTATTATCTTGACTAAGATTTAATATAAATTTGAATTAAGAAAAAATAAATTTGTTTATTTTTAAATTATACTTAATAATATATATGTAATATATTTAAATTTGAATCTTAGAATTTTTAATCTATTTATTCTGGTTAAATTTATTAAATCAACTTGCTAAAAATTACTAAGAAAATTCATATAAAAATTGTATAATTATCAAAAATTATAAATAAAAAAATATTTACAAAATTTGTTCAAATCTAAAAGAAACTAATGATATTACGATTGATAATTTCTTATTTTTTAAAAAAAGATGTAGAAAATTTTGAAAATATTAGTGATAAAAATTGTATAATTATAAAAGTAAAATCAAATAACATTTCAAAAAATGCATATTTCATATGTTTATTTTTAGTGATGATTTGATGTATGAGTTATTGCCATATTTAAAAAAGTTTACCAAAAATATAAATCGACATTAAATATAATGTATCAGTTGTTGTCATATTCTATAAAGTTTACCAATAATATATATAACCAATAAATATAATTGTCCATGTCATATTTATCTATATGTCATATCATTAATTTTAATAGTCATGTCATTATCTTTTTATTAAAATGATTATAGATATGACATGTGGCAAACCACTTCGCAAATATTATATAGGGGATAGCGGAATTAATCTTCAAACTAAGCGTTGCTAGCTAATATGATAATTAGCGTTTCATTTCATTCAGTAACATACTAACATGTCAAAGTCTACCTCCTCCTATCAGTTACCACAAAAAAAAAAAGGTCTACCTCCTACCATTGATAATTCTAAAGTTTGGGAGAAGTCAAGATATGTCCAAAAGATAATAATATCTACGACTACGACCTTTAAAACAAACATTGTTCCGTTGCATATCTATGGAACAAGATGGCACATGCTGGCACTGGCGAAATAAGAGACAACACCTACAAATTAGCTTCAACTCCAAGCTTTCTTAACTCAGACGATGGGGTATAAAGCATCCTCTAGGGGAGGATGATACTTAATTGCCATGGTGACAACTGACAAGCGAAAAGTAAAGACTCATGGATATCGAGTCTCTGTTTTCTATTTTTATTTTCTTCTTTGTTTCTTTTGTCGGGCGAGAGAGTAATGTTGCTACTGATTCTCTAGCAAAGTCTGCTCTCTACAATCCCACTGTTGCTTTGTACTAAACTTTCGCAAGTATCAATCAATTTGTTGCCCAAAAAAGAAAGGAGAAAAACAAATAACAATTTACCTATGATTCCGATTACAAAACCAAAGCCATGGAGTTTATTCTTCAATCCGAACACTTTAAAAATGCAAGAAACAAACATCTAGCAAAACAGAATACATTTGTTCAAAAAAATCTTTAAAAAAGAAAAGCAAAACAGAGTACATATAGGAATCTGCATCTCTATTGTACTCGCACAGTATTATCTATACTATTAAAGGGGAAGTACATTTTGTACTTAACCCCGAGTTTTCCTCAATAATTACATACCTATGCCACTAGAGTTATTTTTCATTTTTAAATTAAAAAAAACAGAATAAATTAACCAAACCATTGAGTCACTAATTTTCGTGGAGCTAATAACTACATTGCCATATACTATTTTCGGATTTATTCCTAAATATTCTTAAACTTCCCTAATGTGAATCAATATAAAGAATCTGCAACATTGGAATAACCTCAAATTACGGTACAAGAAAAAATTGCTATTTCATTAGTTTAATTTCAAAATATCTAACACGAATTTAGGATATTGCATGGAATATTTCAGATTCGCCCTACCTAAAATCTCTCTAAATCAAATTATTAATCAAAATAAAAATTAACATAAATCCTTTCGCCATGTCAATATATTTAGTATATATATAGTATTCCAATTACTTCTCATTCATATTCTGAAATCGCAAAATAATGGCACTTGCTAAAAGTTTTACACCTCTTAAATACAAGGTCTAGCCGTTTTACTGTTATTGTTAAAAAAAAAACTGTGCACATGATCTATCAAAATAACGAACCAAGAATCAAAACACCAGTTATGGGGCGAGTCTCTTGAGTGAATTCTTACGGATGAAAGAGTGATTGTTACCCCTCTATATTTTTTTGTGATTGAGTCTATTGTAGACACTAAATATTATAAATTGTTTGTTATTTTGAGATGTTTAGGAAAATATCATGAAAAAACGACATCATAGCAAAGGTGTAGAAAATACTAAGAATGAGATACCAGTTCACAGTAAATATTAGTGTTATTGATGAACACCACCTTGATCAGCAAGGAAAACTAGCTGTTTCAAATGATTCTGTGAATCCATTTATGCCTTTAAGCTCTATTTTAAGTAGAGTTTTTGATTGTCTTAATAAAAACGTCAAGTTTCAAAACGCAAGCTACGTATGTGTTCTTAGTGTCATAATATTGACAATGGTTTTTCAACGTTATGAAGAAACTTTCAATTAGCATTGTAAGTTCATTATATCAAAATTACTATAGGTGTGAATTTGATATCAAACCAATCTTTCAACACTCCAGAACAGATGAGTTGTCTAACAGCCTTATCATGTAAGTTCATTCTAATCTTAATGTTATTACGCAATAACTAAATTCAAATATATATATAATTTTGTACATAACATACATATCAAAAATAGAACTTCAAATAATTAATTACTTATTGTATTGCTAATTTTTGACTCAAAAGACTAAAAACACATTTAATAGAAATATCAAGACATATAATTCAATATGACTTCAAAATAACTAACAGCTGAATGTATTAGTAATCATTTATCTGTATTAAAATACATTTAATATGAAACAGCAGTCTAAAAGTAGTAAGCATAAAAAAAAAATATTTAATACAATAATAATCAAATGCTAATCTAACAATATTTATCTATTATAAACACAGTTATATCTAATCTATTAAAACTAGAGTAGAAATAGGAAATATTTTTTAGTTTTCCTCAAAATTACATATTTATGCCATTAGTCTTAATCTATATATGGGCTTGGTTAATTAAAATAAAACTAAAGTCTAATATATACATGAAAACTAAATTTGAACATAATAATTAAGTTGTGGTCCATTTTAATATAAGTTCATAACCAAATAATTGAAACTATTAACTTCAATGAAATCACTTCTCCTTTTTAATGTTTTTATGAACTTGGTTTGACAATTGTTTTTGGTTCTCTAAATAATATTTTTTTTAAAAAAAATACGCAATTCTTTTTTAAAATTTAGAAAATTTCTTACATTTTAATGTTTGTTTTGCCAAATAAGCTAAATATGTATAATAAAGAAAAACACAATATCATAATTTATAATTGAAAACTAAGCGAAATGAACAAGACATATCAATGTCAATCCTAAATAATATATGAAGCTATAATATAAAAAAACATAAACAATTAAATTTATCGTGTTTTAAAAAGTTTAAAATATATAATTATAAAAAAACAAA